TGTCTCCAAAAAATAAAAAATAAAAATAAATCTCAGAATAAGTTCATAACCCTTTTAAAAACAAATTGGGAAGCTGTCAATGGTGATCACAAAAAGAAATGAAACAATGAAATAATGGATTGGATAAACATGAAATTGTTAGAAAATAAGTAACCAGGATGTTGCAACAACTTCTTGAGGTCTAGAGAATGATGAAAAATCTATTTATTCAAGCAAATAATAGCTATTACGACCTAATCAGTTCTGGGTACCTAATACAACTTTCTAACAGCTTGGCAAATTGGTACAGCAAGCCTCAGTTTTTTGATTCTCAGATTTGTTGACTAGGCTTGACAATTTCCAAGAAAAGTATAGGAGAAAAGAAAATACCAGCTTTCCAAAGGGTAGCTATGAAAAGAGCAAAGGAAACTAAGCAAAAGAGAAAAGGACAGGAATAACATTTGCTCAGAACTAAATTACACGTGATTTACCTAGATTTAAGATTCACCTTAATTTGATAAAGCAGGTGACACCTAATCCACATTGTTTTGTTTACAAATATGGAAACTTAAGGCTAATAATATTAAATAAAATTGTACACATGTAGTCCCAGCTACTCAGGAGACTAAGGCAGGGGGATTACTTGAGCATAAGAGTGCAAGGCCAGCCTGGGCAACATAGCAAGACTTGTCTCTTAAAATAAAAAACAAAAAACAAAACAAAACAAAACAAAAAAAACAACCCCATGATACACAGTCACAGGGCTGGTATGAAAGCAAGCTGGAATCCAATATATTTAATAGTTGTGTCTGATTTCAAATCTCATATTTTTTTCCCTGCAACACAGCCTTATGTTCCTAGAAGGCTTTATTAATAAATTTGACATAATTGCCAACTTTTTAAATTAAAAAATATTCGCAAGATTTTAAAAGGCAATTTGTTTGTAGGAACTAACCCAACATTCCTTCCTACTCATACACCCTGACATTAACGGTGTATATCATATTTCACCGCTTCTTACAGTTCTTCCCAAGAGGCTCTTGAGAGCCTCATACCAACAGGCCTCTGATGGCCAGACCTACCAACTTGTCAGATATGCCCCAATAGTGTCTTCCTCTTTATTGTCAAATCCTATCTGAAAACAAAGATACACTCATATCTACAAAGTAAACCGAAGGTTAGGCGCTGTGACTCAAGCCTGTAATCCCCGCACTTTGGGAGGCCCAAGGCAGTAGGGCTGCTTGAAGCCAGGAGTTGGGAGACCAGCCTGGGCAAGATAATGAGAGCCCATCTCTACAAAAACATAAAACAAATTAGCTGTTCGTGGTGGTGCACACCTGTTGTCCCAGCTACCCAGGAAGCTGAGGCAGGAGGATCACTTGAGGCCAGGAGTTTGAGGTTACAGTGAGCTATGATCATGCCACTGCACTCTAACCTGGGTGACAGAGTGAGACTCTAACTCAAAAAAAAAGAAAAAGCCCAGAAAAACCTGAAAGGGATTTTATTTTATTTATTTATTTTTTGAGACAGGGTCTCACTCTGTCACCTGGGACTAGAGTGCCAGGGCACCAGCCTAGCTCACAGCAACCTCAAACTCTTGGGCTCAAGCAATCCTCCTGCTTCAGCCTTCCAAATAGCTCTGACTACAGGCATGCAACATGACACCCAGCTAATTTTTCTGTTTTTAGTAGAGAAGGGGTCTCACTCTTGCTCAGGCTGGTCTGGAACTCCTGACCTCAAGGGATCCTCCCAACTCGGCCTCCTAGAGTGCTAGGATTACAGGAGTGAGCCACTGAGCCCAGCTTGAAGGGGATTTTATCAATCTTATTTTCTAAAAGACAGATGTCCCATCAGATTGGAAAAAAATTTTTAAATGCGATAATACTAAGTGCCGCTGAGAATACAGAACTGTAGGAACTCTCCTACATTGCTGGTAAGAATGTCAAGTTAGTACTATCACTTTGGAGAACTACAGTATTTGGGAAAGTTTAATAAGTTGAAGATACTCGACAATTCTATTTCTAGATATATTTTCCAGAGGTGTTCTTATACACACACACACACACACACACACACACACACAGACACGCACCCACCCCTATATATATGAGGATATACATAAAAGGATGCTTTTACTGTTGGTATGAATGTAAAATGGTGCAGCTGCTATGGAAAACAGTATAGTGGTTCCTCAAAAAATAAACAATTTAGGCCAGGCACAGTGGCTCACGCCTGTAATCCTAGCACTCTGGGCCAGGAGCGGTGGCTCAAATCTGTAATCCTAGCACTCTGGGAGGCTGAGGTGGGCAGATTGCTCGAGGTCAGGAGTTCGAAACCAGCCTGAGCAAGAGTGAGACCCCCGTCTCTACTATAAATAGAAATTAATTGGCCAACTAATACATAAAAATTAGCTGGGCATGGTGGCACATGCCTATAGTCCCAGCTACTCTCGAGGCTAAGGCAGGAGGATTGCTTGAGCCCAGGAGTTTGAGGTTGCTGTGAGCTAGGCTGATGCCACGGCACTCACTCTTGCCTGCGCAACAAAGTGAGACTCTGTCTCAAAAATAAAAAACAACAAAAAAAAAAAATCCTAGCACTCTGGGAGGCCGAGGCAGGTGGATTGCTTGAGGTCAGGAGTTCGAAACCAGCCTGAGCAAGAGCAAGACCCCATCTCTAGTATAAACAGAAAGAAATTAATTGGCCAACTAATATATATAGAAAAAATTAGCCTGGCATGGTGGCACGTGCCTATAGTCCCAGCTACTTGGGAGGCTGAGGCAGTAGGATTGCTTGAGCCCAGGAGTTAGAGGCTGCTGTGAGCTAGGCTAATGCCGTGGCACTCTAGCCTGGGCAACAGAGTGAGACTCTGTCTCAAAAAAAAAACAACTGTTTGCCTATGGAGATTAAATACAGTGCTTTGGATTCTTATGAGCTGATAAAAGAAAGAAAAAAGAAAATACAGTGCTATACACCTTTTTGCTTTGTGTTTTAAGCAGTTTTTTTCCTTCAGTTGAACAGAAGGGAAAATCTCATTTTATTCATTGAATAAAAATTTACTGGCCAGGCGTGGTGGCTCACGTAGGTAATCCTGGCACTCTGGGAGGCCGAGGTGGGCAGATTGCTCAAGGTCAGGAGTTCGAAACCACCCTGAGCAAGACCCTGTCTACTAAAAATAGAAAGAAATTAATTGGCCAACTAGGAATATATATACAAAAAATTAGCCAGGCATGGTGGAGCATGCCTGTAGTCCCAGCTACTCGGGAGGCTGAAACTGTAGGATTGCTTGAGCCCAGGAAATTAAGGTTGCTGTGAGCTAGGCTGATGCCACCGCACTCACTCTAGGCTGGGCAACAAAGTGAGACTCTGTCTCAAAAAAAAAAAAAATTTATTGAGCACAGTGCCAAGCATTGTATCAAATTCCTGACCTTAGAAAGTTCACTGTGCTATTCTTTGTTTACAAATTTCCTTTTACAATTTATTACGAGAAATGATGTGTTATTACTAAAAGTTCCGGTTATTAACAGACCATTAACAAAATTCATCTTGTTTATTGTTCAAGGACAACATATACCTTCCTTCTGAAACAATGTTGCTGTGTTGAGGTTACCAAATGACCTATTTTGGGAAAACATTAACCCACGAGGCTGTATGACTAACTTAGTTCTGGCAACTACTAGAACCCACAGTGAGGTCATCATACCAGTCATGACACCTGCATTCTCGCTCAATCTACCCGTCAACATGTACAACTCAGGAGGAGTTCCCCGTGGTTGAAACAAACTCGGACTCACTGTTAGGCTAACAAAAATAAAAATTCGTACTTCGTCAAGCAGACATTTTATAAGCTATCTCAAAATCCTTCGAATTCATTTCCAAAATTATCTTAAAGAAACTGTTCATTTCTATCTGCTGCACATTTAAGTCAGTAGGTAGTAGGTCATAGTAGAAAGCAGTCTAGGTGTTAAGTCAATCCAATAGACCTGCTTGTTTATAGTTTCTTTTTGTTGCCCAGGCTAGAGCCAGTGCCATGGCGGCAGCCTAGCTCACAGCAACCTCAAACTCCTGGGCTCAAGCGATCCTCCCGCCTCAGCCTCCCAAGTAGCTGGGACTACAGGCATGCGCCACCATGCCCGGCTAATTTTTTCTATATATATTAGTTGGCCAATTAATTTCTTTCTATTTATAGTATAGACAGGGTCTTGCTCTTGCTCAGGCTGGTTTTGAACTCCTGACCTTGAGCAATCCGCCCGCCTCGGCCTCCCAGAGTACTAGGATTACAAGCGTGAGCCACCGCGCCTGGCTAGACATAGTTTCTTAATGTTATGCTCAGATATGTTGAAATTTAAAGACTAGCGACCTTGGTCGCTAAGTGACATTCGCCTAATTGTATTAATATGCAAATTTCTAGACTTCCACCTTTAAGACAGTTTGTGTCACGTGAAAAAGTCATTTTCATGTTTATTTACACCCCAACCCCAAGACTCCCCGAGGCATCGTGAATCCAAACCCCTCTACCTTACTCAGTTTCCTTGAGTCATCTCCTTGGGGAACGAGTGGCCACACCCAGGGTGTAGGGAGACCAGTCGCGTGGTCCTAGCTGGTCCCCACCTTTCTTGTCCTTTGCATAGCAAGCATGTCAATGGGAGCAATAACTGTTTTCTGGCAATTTCCCCTTTCCCGAAGCGGGATTTCAGCTCCCTAATCCGCTTTTTTTACTACCAGTTTGGAGAAACAGAACAGAGTGAGAGGGATTTGCATGTGTTGTCGGAGCCAGAGCTAAGCCTGGCCACCGTGTCACCTTGAGCCCGAGCCTCGCCTCCCTGGGCCTGGGGACAAAGGGCCCCCGCAACGGAGAGGGTCCCACTTCAAAGTCCAGATTTAGTTTGTCCTCAGGCAGTTATGAGAATTGAGTAAGACAAAGCAACTAAGACCATTCATACCACAGAAGCGTGATTCAAGCTCCACAACCCTGCACTAACCAAGATAAAAAATAAACCCCGGCCAGTGCGTGAGGTGCGCACCTTCTTTAAGACGGGATGGGGGACTGTGCTTCACAGTAGCCACCAGGTACCGCGCCGCCCCGATCTAGGCACTTCCAAACTCGAGCCGTGGCGGCCTGCCCGGGAAACTCGCCACATAACCCGCTTCCTGCCGGCCTACCGCGCAAAAAGGCGGAACGTACGGAACCTGGGTTTTGAAGGCGGGAGCGAAAGACCCCCGCCTCCACCTCCGGCCGGAAATACCTTCTTTCAGGCAGGCGCGCCTCTGTGGCGCACGCGCACTCAGTAACTTAGCAACAACGGCGCCTAGCCACCCCCGCCAGAGCCTAGCAACAACGAACCCGCTGCGATCCTACCAATCAGCGCCAGCCTGGCCGTCACACGCCCCACCAATCATCGCCGGCGCTGCAAGGAAGTTTCGAGAGCTTTCGAGGAAGGTCCCTTTAACTCGAATTCATCCGCCTGATAATTTTCCTATATTTTCCTAAAGGAGGAAAAAGAGAGCTTAGAGGATAAGCGAGCTAATTTTTTAGGAACCTTTTTTTATAGCTGTGAGAAATTTGGGGCTCAATCGAAAAGCATAACTGTGTTGAGGAGGTTGGGCAGAGCGAACTACTTTTAGTGGCGCACGGAGACGGCGGCTACGTAGGAGTGATCAGTTACGTAACAGACGTTGCATAAATTCCAGCGCCGCGGAACCGAAGTATTCAGCGGCGACTGAATTTGTGGAGTGGTTGTTTTCTGGCGTTGAGGCGGCCGGCCGTGTTCGGCGATTCGTAGCGTCCTCGCGTTTGCAAACAGGTACTGGCCCGCAGCCTTGGAGATCTGGGAGGATTGTAGAGAGGGCTTCACAGAGGTCTAGTTGTCGGTTTACTCGGGCTGGGTGGGTCTCTGGGGGAAGTACGTGGGGGGAGGGGAAGACGAAGTGACGCGGCGCCCGCTTTTCGGGAGGAGTCGGCCTTGTTTACGTGGGGCGGGGGGAGCGGGGCGGCTGGCGCAAGCGCGGACAGAAGCTAACGGACACTTAACCGATGGAAGTTCCGTCGCGTTTACTTCAGATGGGGAAGGCAGAAAAGAGGTAGTCTGTGTGGCTTCTGTAAATTTCTAATCCCAATGTGGGAAATGTGGTCCTCTTCTGTTTCAAGGGGAAGTTTTACTTCATGGGTCTTGGGGGTTCGGTTTTGTTTCCGGTTTATCTACCAGTGTGCTTAGATTTTTGGAAATTTAGTGCGGCGTCGGGGGAAAGGGGAGAGTTAAATATCCGGAACAGTCAGGAGAGAAAGCTCTGGGTTTAGCTAGTTTAGAAAGCGTTTATTTTCTAGCTGTTACACTTTAACGAATTTTTTTATTAAGTTGCGGATTTTAAGTCTGGTAAAGATAGAAGGAGGCTTGTGAAATGTTAGCGCGTTTGTAGGCATTTTGGAAGAAACCTTTCGGTTTCAAGAATTTATTAAATGTTAAAGTAAGAAGTAAAGATCCTGAGATTATACGATGTTTTACTTTTAAACTAGGTCAAAATGCAAATCTTTGTGAAGACCCTGACCGGCAAGACCATCACCTTGGAGGTGGAGCCCAGTGACACCATCGAGAATGTGAAGGCCAAGATCCAGGATAAGGAAGGGATCCCTCCTGACCAGCAGAGGCTCATCTTTGCCGGCAAGCAGCTGGAAGATGGCCGCACTCTTTCTGACTACAACATCCAGAAAGAGTCGACCCTGCACCTGGTCCTGCGCCTGAGGGGTGGTATGCAGATCTTTGTGAAGACCCTGACCGGCAAGACCATCACCCTGGAGGTGGAGCCCAGTGATACCATCGAGAATGTGAAGGCCAAGATCCAGGATAAGGAAGGGATCCCTCCTGACCAGCAGAGGCTCATCTTTGCAGGCAAGCAGCTGGAAGATGGCCGCACTCTTTCTGACTACAACATCCAGAAAGAGTCGACCCTGCACCTGGTCCTGCGCCTGAGAGGTGGTATGCAGATTTTCGTCAAGACCCTGACCGGCAAGACCATCACCTTGGAGGTGGAGCCCAGTGATACCATTGAGAATGTGAAGGCCAAGATCCAGGATAAGGAAGGGATCCCTCCTGACCAGCAGAGGCTCATCTTTGCAGGCAAGCAGCTGGAAGATGGCCGCACTCTTTCTGACTACAACATCCAGAAAGAGTCGACCCTGCACCTGGTCCTCCGCTTGAGGGGTGGCTGTTAATTCTTCAGTCTTACATTCACAGTGCCCAACGATGGCGTTACTCTGCACTATAGCCATTTGCCCCAATTTAAGTTTAGAAATTACCGGTTTCAGTAGTAGCTGAACCTGTTCAAAATGTTAATAAAGGTTTTGTTGCATGGTAGCATATTTGGTGTCTGTCGTCATGAAATTCTGTAATGTAATGAATACTCTTTTAACTGTTTACAATTATGTCAAGGAATTTAACTTAAAATTGGGAATGTGACCAAAATTAAGTCAGTTTATATACACTTAGTGCTGAGGTGTAAGCTTTCTTTGCTCCAAGTCACTTAAAAATTAGGATCCTGGTTTAAAGGTGAGCCATTTTGGAAGTGTGTTGACTATCAAGGCATTTTCTTTAAATTGAGGGTAAGCGAATGTACTTTCTTAGACTTAAACAAATCAAAGACTGCTAGACAGCAATAGCCAAACTTGTAAGTTTTAGTTGAGACTGCTTGAATGGTGGTAAGTGCTTCCAAGTCTTCTAATTATTGCTTGGTTATCTGCTGTGAATGTGCTTTTATTGATCGCTTTTGTGTTACACCAGGGTTTAACCTTAGGTAGTAAAAAAGAATCATAATCCTGTTTCTTTGCTGTATGTGTGTTAACTGCTGAGCCAAGAAGCAAATGGAGCACTAATCACAAGTTTGAAAGAAGACTGGCTGAGGAGAAAAATAGCTTGGAAGCATTTAAGGGTTAAAAGGATATACTGATCTACACTTGCTCATTTTCGTCAGTTCAGGTATCAAAGTGGTTGCTCACACAATTGTTTCTTAATGACTAACGATTTTCTTTTACTGAAGAGTCTGCAATGACAAATGAGATTTTCTATACTTTGTAAAGATATTAGGCCATTTTACACTCTTTAGGGAGTTAATGCTTCAACTCCTTGGAGTAGTAAAATACTGCAGCTAGAAGAGAAAACAGTTCTTGGAGGTAGTAGTGAGAAATCAAACCTTTAACAAAAAAACCCCAGAAAACCTTAGCCTTAAGGGAATACATCTCACTATTGGATTGGAGGATAACATCCTCTCCATTCCTAGCATTTTGGACTAGGAATTCAGTCTTGAATGGGACTTGACGAAAGCCTGATTGTTATTAGGGGCAATTTAAGAACTGGAATCCATGTCCTGACTGTCAACTCAATGACGACTTACCCATGAAGTTTTATGAATTTCCTAACCCTGCAGATGTTTCCAGTGCTTTTTCAGCAGGCTTTTTGCTGAATGTTCATTAAGCTGATTTAAAATCAGCTTTTCACTAGTAAAGCTGAATTTTAAAGATTAGTTCTTTATATTTTCTACTTGAAGTTGTGAGTAGTCCCAGCTACTCCAGAAGGTAAAGGGGGGAAGATCATTTGAGGTCAGGAGTTAAAAGGCTGCCTAGGCAGCATAATGAGACCTCCCACCCCCAGTCTGCAAACTCTTGATTGTAAATCTGAAGAATGAAAGCATTTCACTGAATTGCTAAACTAGACTCATATTTTGGGCAATAGGGCCTAAACTCTTTCTTCCAAATACTGCCTGAGCTGACAAGCTGGTGAATTCTGTAGTCTGGTGAATTCCTCAGTAAGAAAGTTTAGTTTATTGATTTTAGTTCTGTTTTGGGATATCTCTTCCATAGGGATCCCATAAAGATTTCATGAATCTCAGCAAATCACTTGGCACACAAATTGGAATTTGAGCAAGGTTTCAAAAGCCTATGCTATCAATTTTTGGAATTGGGTTTGACACTCTAGCCTCAAACCCTACTCTACACTGAATCAAATAGAGGTCAATTGTAGTTTGTGGTCTAAGTTCACTTTTGATTGCTGATGAGGTGCCAGCAATACCTTAGAGAAATACCACTAGGAGGTGGAGTTTTACTTTGGTACGGCCTAAAGGAGGGTTCGGAGAGTTGATAAAGATTTGTTCGGTTCCTGCTTTCTCGAATGGCTAAAAAAGAAAAAAAAAAGATTTGTTCGGGTATCTGCTTCCAGGATAACTCGGTCCTATCCAACTTAAGGTTCATTGTCCAGCTAGATTCTTAACTGCCAGGAACATAGTTATTGATTGCAGTGTTGGTCCAGATAATAAAGGGCCCATGGGAAGAAAAAACATACTCTTATATAGCCCTGGGTGCAAATACTTCTGTCTGCCCTTGAGGAAATGTCTTCTCTGGAATTTCTTCTTCCCCTTATAAACCTCAGAATCAATGCTACAAATAGCATCAGAGGGTTGCTTGTGGGACCTTAGTGACTTGTGAGGCTGGTATCCCAGATGTATATGCATCAGTATGCCAATAATCTATTTTTTTTTATTTTTTTCCAATATATTTTAAACCCATTGTATTTTGGACCTATGCTTTCTCTGAAGAACAAATTGCATGTATTTATTAGACCTACTTGGATTACACATCATGCGCCTTGAGATTCCAGAGACTGCAGAACAAGCTGCCACTTAACCACCCCTAATTGTAATCCTCAGTGTTTCCGTTCTACTTGGGAATTAGATTTTTAAAAAAGCATTTTTTTTTTTTTTTTTTTTTTTTTGAGACAGAGTCTCACTTTATTGCCTGGGCTCGAGTGCCTTGGCGTCAGCCTAGCTCACAGCAACCTCCAACTCCTGGGCTCAAGCAATCCTGCCTCAGCCTCCCGACTACAGGCATGCACCACCATGCCCAGCTAATTTTTTCTATATATTTTTAGCTGTCCAAGTAATTTCTATTTTTAGTAGAGACGAGGTCTCGCACTTGTTCAAGCTGGTCGGAACTCCTAAACTCAATCCACTGGCCTTCGCCTCCCAGAGTGCTAAGATTACAGGTGTGAGCCAGCACGCCTGGCCTTAAAAGTATTTCTGTTAATCTATTTCTTGTGATCTTTCATGAACGAATGCTTGCACCTGTGTGTTAAAGACTACTTGCTTGGTATAAGTGAAAGTAGGTTCCAGGTGCTGGTCTATAGCCTGATGCCAATTTTTGCCAGCTTTCAGTGAAATAAGAAAAATGAGACTAACATGGTGGATTTCACATAAAATTAAATGTATTCAAATTAAAAGATTGATATGCCCTCTGTAAAAAGGTTGCAGTCTAATATAGCGATTTGAGTGTGGCTGTGGATACAAGACTACTTGGGGCTGGGCACCGTGGCTCACGTCTGTAGTCTGTAATCCTGGCACTCTGGGAGGCCGAGGTGACCTCAAGGTCAGGAGTTTGAAACCAGCCTGAGCAAGAGCGAGACCTTGTCTATTAAAAATAGAAAATTAATTGGCCAACTAAAATATATAGAAAATATTAGCCTGGCATGGTGGCACTTGCCTGTTGTCCCAGGTACTTGGGAGGCTGAGGCAGTAGGATTGATTGCTTGAGCCCAGGAGTTTGAGGTTGCTGTGAGCTAGGCTGACGCTACGGCACTAGCCCGTACAACAGAGAGTCTGTCTCATTAAAAAAAAAAAAAAAAAAAAGACTACTTGAGTTCAAATCTGGCTCCATTTACTAGCTTGTAACCTTGGGCAACTAATTTATCCTGTCAGTACATCAGATTCCTTTTTCTTTTTCTTTTTTGAGACAGTCTCACTCTGTTGCCCTGGCTAGAGTGCCATGGCGTCAGCCTAGCTCACAGCAACCTCAAACTCCTGGACTCAGGCGATCCTGCCTCAGCCTCCGGAGTAGCTGGGACTACAGGCACGTGCCACCATGCCAGGCTAATTTTTTCTATATATTTTTAGTTGGCCAATTAATTTCTATTTATAGTGGAGACGGGTCTCGCTCTTGCTCAGGCTGGTTTTGAACTCCTGACCTTGAGCGATCCTCCCAGAGTGCTAGGATTACATGGGTGAGCCACCACACCCGGCCCAGATTCCTTATCTATTAAATTGAGGTTAATTATACCTATCCAGAGCAGTTATGATTACATCTGGAGTGCTTAAAACAATGTAAAAACATGCCTGGTGCTTACTATGCTATTTTTGGTAATAAAATTGGAAATTACCTATGAAAAGAGAGTAGTTAGATTACGATAATGAACAATGAGGGCAATAGGAACTGTCATGGAGCAATATTCAATAGAGTGGTAAAAGCTATAGGAAAACTGTATGTGTGTGTGCATAAGCACAAAGAAGCATAGGCCAAGGTTAACAATTGTTGCTCCAGAATGGAAGAGTGGTCATGAAGGGAGGCATATTTCAGCCCCTTTTTTGATATTTTCAAATCTGCCACCTATATAGCATCAGCATCATTCACAACAAGTACCCCATGGCCAAGAGCCAGCAATGTAATTCTGAAGTCAGACTGTTTCTGAATTGGGTAAAGTAGACACTTTGCACAAGTCTCTGGCTCAGGCCTCTAGAAACTATCTCAAGAGACTTCCTGAACCTCAACACACTTCATCTTAGTTATGCTTATTCCTAAAAGAATCGCAGGGGCAAGCCAACTCTAAATGGAAGCTGTAGACCCATGCTGAGTTCTGGGAAAGGATCATGCAAAAGGAACAGCAATATTAACAGATAAATATGTTTTGAGTTTTCTCCTTTCATACTTTTTTTTTTGAGGCAGAGTCTCACTTTGTTGCCCAGGCTAGAGTGAGTGCCTTGGCGCCAGCCTAGCTCACCGCAACCTCAAACTCCTGGGCTCGAGCGATCCTCCTGCCTCAGACTCCTGATAGCTGGACTACAGGCATGCGCACATGCCTGGCTGATTTTTTCTATACATATTAGTCAGCCAATTAATTTCTTTCTATTTATAGTAGAGACAGGGTCTCGCTTGTTGGGCGCGGTGGCAGCGCCATTAAAAAATGGCGCTGATATCCGGTGCTCGCCCTTGTTCTCCCGCTGGTAACAAGCTGCGCCTGTGTGTCGAATGTAACCAATGATATGAGTTTCCTGCTTTGCAGTGTATATAAGAAACTGCCCTTCCCCTTTTCTGGGTCTTCCGTAAAATGTAGCCTAAGGGATCCCCCAATAAAGCACTGTCAGAAGGACTCCTGTTGCCGCGTCTTCCTTGCTGGCGAGGCGGGCGCGACACTCGCTCTTGCTCAGGCTGGTTTTGAACTCCTGACCTTGAGCGATCCACCTGCCTCGGCCTCCCAGAGTGCTAGGATTACAGGCATGAGCCACCTCGCCTGGCCTCTTTTCATACTTTCTTGATTCCATCCT